AAACAAAGTTATTCATTTAAAAAATTAATTTACAAATACTTCTGAATATCATTTTACAACAAGTATCTCCGAACATATGACAAATGAAATATGTTTTAATTACTCAAGCAATAATTTTTTGGCCCTATGTAAACATCCTTGTTTATCGACTGCAAAATTTTCAGCTATAATTTATTTCCTCCACAGCTGAAATTAAATCTACACATACAGGACAATGCAGCAGCATACATAAGGCAAGACTGTTTTTGCATACTTCTTTTAATTCCATTCAAATGGTAATACATATTTTTTTAATACTTTGATAGTATTCTGCAGGCTTTCTCTCAAAAAAAAAATTGCAGGAACAAATACTGGAATGTTTACAACTGGATTTTTTTCTTTTCAGTTGAGTTTTTATTTTATTTAATAGCGAAGATTTAATTTTATGAATTGACAACATTACATACAAGGCCTATGTTTTTCAAGGTCTGGTTGGTCACATAATGAAAAGTTCCTGGAAAATCCAATGATACTGTGTGCAGTGTCTCTAGTATGCCTATCGATCACACCAGGTCTCAGTTAAAAGCTGTGAGCACACAGTGAGGACATAAACATGCCTCAAATAATAGTCTCTCCTGCCAAGTGTGAAATGTATGCAGTCATCCGATTTCTGCATGCCGAAGGGTGCATTGCAGACAAAATTCATCGATGATTGAAAAATATGTACAGAAAAACCTTCATGAGTTACACCAAAGTGCAGGAATTGTGAAGCAGGATATACAAACATTCATGATGCAGTTGGGCAGGGAAGAAAGTGGGTGTCAACTGATGATCTTGATCAGCGAGTAGATCAGAAAACTCCAAAATATTTTTGGTTTACAATTTCTGTGTTCAGTGACTCGTTTCCTTAAATTTCACAGTCAGCACTCTATACTAGCGTTAGCAAGAGACCTCCAGTACCACAAACTCTGTGCGAGATAGATTTCCGAAGGTGCTGTCTGACAATCACAAATCTCAGCAAATGGGTGCCACCTTAACGCTTCTCCAATGCTAAGCATGATGAAGGAGATTTTTGAACAGAATAGTCATAGTGAATGAGATATGGGTCCGTTTCAAAACTGAAGAAACAAAAAAGCAATCCAAACAGTAGATGCATACTCATTCCCCAAGCAACCAAAAAAGAAAGTTCAAGGAAACCTCCTCCAGCGACTGTTCTGGAACGGAAAATGTGTTCTCTTGGGACAACTCATGGAATGTGGCATGACATCAGTGCAGACTCATACAGCATTACTCATAAATGTCTATGAAGGGCAGTTCAGAACAAGTGCACAGGATTGTCATCAGGCACTTTCTTTCATGACAATGCATAGTCCCACACTGCAGCTAAGCCTGGACTCAATGTTCTCCAATTAACATCACTTTGCTCATATAAAATGCTGGCTAGGAGGATAAGAGCTTGGCTCAAACAACAAGATACAGACTAGCGTAGAGAACTGGAAGCACAGGCAGCTGCCTTCTTTGACAACGATATCAGACAGTTGGAATTGGCCTTCTATGATAAGGGTATTGGAAAGTTGGTACCATGCTATGACTAATGTCTCAGACAGAGCAGCAACTATGTAGAGAAGCCGCTGGAAGGTGTACCCTAAATATTCCAAATGAAACAATTTTGATTTTCACTGTGGTTTCCATTTCACGACTGATAAAACCTTGAAAAAAATAGCCCTTATATGATTTTTACTAGATGGCATATGATTTGCACACTTTTTTTTTACATTCTCAAATTTTTCTAACTTTTTTCTAGTTGATAATCTGTAGTTTTCAGATTGTGAGTTAATTTCTTTCAAATTATTTTCTGAAAAGTACTGGTTAGCTTCATAAGTGGTTATCTTAGGAAGGTGATCATTGTAAATTATACATATTCTTCATCAGCTTTCATTATACATAGTTTTGTATTATTTTAAATAATGCATAAACAAAAACTACACTGACAAATATTAACTCCCAAAATTTTAAACATTAAAAAAATATGTCAAATGAACTCTAGTAGCCATTCCGACTTGTGTGAAGTCTACGTTTCATACGTAGCAATATTACTTTCATTTCCAACTTGAACAACATTTCACTCCATCTAAATTTAATATATGACAGGCATTAATCATACCACCGCAGCAAACGCAGAAGCAGTTGTTGATTGATAGCGACTCAAAATTCAATGATTTTGGTGTTTTAAACTGTGACTAGTTCATGTAGACAACTATGGCCTTAAAGTTACTGTGTTCCACACTACACATCCTGCTCCACTGCTGACAACCTTTGTATTAGGTGGGAGACAGGCCCAAAAAGCTACCAACTGCGACATAAGTTTCTCCATTTCCTGCTACCAATCCCATACTTATGGGCAACAGTTTAAAATTTTTCGCTATGCCCAACCAATCTGACCAGGCCTGTGGGGTCACCACTCCCAGTTCTCGGTCTCATGGAGAGGCTGAAATTTAAGCCTGATAATCTGACTGGTCGTCAATTAATGCCCCCCACCAGTACTAAGCAGGCAGCTCTGAAATGATGGAATGGCACAGAATACGGATCGAATGGCAAGCCATGACTGCTACTGAGACCATCAGCTTGAGGACTTACAGCCAATTCTCCCTTGGTCCAACCGTATTGTACGATTTTCCCTCAAGGATCTGTTACCACCAGGCTTGTGTTATTGTTCCCCCAGAGTGCTATTAAAGTCTCACATCCTTTGGGAACAGTTTCCAAGGACAGAACTGTCTATGTCACGGAAGGGCAATACTTTGCATCATCACAAAAGGGCTCTCCAGTGAAGATTTCAAAAATTTAACTCTCAAATTTGCGAGTGTTGATGACATGGCATGCAGATGCCGAACACCCATCTCTACCATCTGTTTTGTGAATGAGGAGGTACGACCACGGCAATCAGAAACGTATTGTACGATACCAACCGTATTGTACGATTTTCCCTCAAGGATCTGTTACCACCAGGCTTGTGTTATTGTTCCCCCAGAGTGCTACTAAAGTCTCACATCCTTTGGGAACAGTTTCCCAGGACAGAACTGTATGTCACGGAAGGGCAATACTTTGCATCATCACAAAAGGGCTCTCCAGTGAAGATTTCAAAAATTTAACTCTCAAATTTGCGAGTGTTGATGACATGGCATGCAGATGCCGAACACCCATCTCTAACATCTGTTTTGTGAATGAGGAGGTACGACCACGGCAATCAGAAGCCATAACCCATTTCCAGCAACTGTTTCATGAATGAGGAGGTAACACTTGCTGACGTCATTTATTTGAGCTAAATGCACTGATGTGCTTAATCACTGCAGGGGTGGACTCCCCAGGTTGGCATGCAGAGGAGGTGCATGAGCTTATCACATCCAGGTCACCACTGCAGTGGCTCTTGCCTTAAGAATGTTAGGATTCACATTCCATTTGTAAATGAGAGACCTTTATGCTACATTTCTTAACCTTCAACCTCATTTTTCTCTGCATTTTAAACCAAGGTTCTGCAAGCGAGGCATGAGCAAATTCAAGGAGAACAAAAAATAAGCATATCTCAGGACATCATATAGCATAGACGACAATCCTGTCTTCACTTTTCAAATATGTTCTCTGATATATTTTTTTTAATTAAGCTGCCAGACAAAGATCTATTCAAGGCTTATGATAAGCTGTAAATTTTGAATTTTTTGCTTTTAGGAAAAGAGGATATAGTGAATCTTAGATAGAGGATATAGTGAATCAGCTTGAGGCCATACAATGGCATTGTTGTTTAATAGCACATTCACCTTTCAATGAATAAAATTTCAATCCTCATCACTTTTGTTTCATTTCAATATAAATGCTCTCGAAATATGGGATCTGCATTCTTCAGTCTTTTAAAAGACATAAGGTTACTGAATCTTTGCTTTGCAACCAAACATATCTTGACGGAAATGAGCTCGTTTTAAGCATATTGAGAAGTATGGTAATCTAATTGATTATAACATTTCATTTCTTGATAGTGCTAGAAAATGTATGCTGAGAATAATGCTAGAAATGCTAGTGCTAAAAAGTCGACATGACTTGTTACAGAACTAACTTTCCGAAAACGTTTTTAATATCCTGGTCTATTAAAAGGTGTTGAAAATAAAAATGAAAACAAGGATTTGCCTATCACTATGTGGCTAGGAAAAAAAATGGTGTTTCAATATTTTCAGAATGTGAGAGCAAATTTTTTCAATCATACATTGATAACGTTGTAACAAACAAAGATCCAAGTGATGAAAATATGTAACAAAAATACTAACTTCAAAGAATTTTCTGAAATTGAAGAAAATATAAAAGAAACACAGAAGGTGAACTACCTACAACAGCAGCTGACAATGCTGCAATGTGTGTTATTAATCAGTGTTTAATCACATAAACTGCAGAATCGAACATAATGGAAGCTTCAATATTTGGACAAAAATATGAAAATAATTTTCCTATAATCTGCATGATGCTACATAGGATTTATTTTTGCACTCAGAATTTAAGCAAAAGGTAAATTTGTCAGTATTTTTAATGTTTCTTTTTAATGTTATATTTTTGTAGATAAAATAATTATCCATAGTTATAAAGATGCAATTCGAGGGAAGGCCATAATATTTATCCTACTTTACAATGGAAAATTAACATATACAGAAACTGAATGACTGACAAATAATTGCATGTAACAATTGTTAAAAAAAAATCTTAGTATCATTTTCTTAAATTAGATTTATTAGACACTTCTTTTGGTAGATATGACAAAGTTGATCAATTTCCTTTGTGTGTGTGTGTGTAAATGATTCATTATCAAATTCTTAAAAAATGTTCCTGGTGTAATCCATTTTTCGGATACTGCAAACCAAACTTCCATTCCCTTGAAGTTTGTTATTGCTGGGTTCACCTGTATATATACATATATATATATATATATGAAAAAAAAAAGAAAAAAGAAAATACAAGCACACAAGCAATTCATGTTTCAATACCTGAAAGTTTTCGCTGGGTTTCTGGAGAGCTTGATAGGGCCAAATACTTCTGATGCTCAGATGGATTTATAAGCCCTTGAATTTCCAACTGACCCGGTGAAAGGGAGGCATATTCTTCACTTAATAGCTGAACTATGATTAAATATAAAGAAAACTAATTAAAAGCAATAAAGCTGAAATTGTAATACTGTAGTTCTCATCATCTCATTAAACTGAAATCTTCGACATTTATTTAGAAGAAAGATATACACTGAAAAGACAAATTATTATGCACATTATTCAACACTGAATCACACCACCTTTTGCAGAGATAACAGGTGCATCACATCTGGGAAAGGACCCGAAGAGATGTTTAAAGCCAGATAGTAATATTGTCAGACAACAATTCTGCAGTTTCTAACATAAACTGGTCATAGAGGATGGCGATGAGTTCAGAGATTAAACAGGCCATTGCAATTAACCCTAGAGATGCTTGAGAAGATTCCTATCTGGAGACCTTGCATTTCATGTTCTTTAACAGTTTACAGAGAGCTCTTGTTGGGAAGCATGCCACAAATTTGATTCTTCTTATGTAAACACTAACATTATTTTCATTAATTATTTGCCAGAAACATCTCTGACCTTTATTTTTATGTGTATGTGTTATATAAGAATATACGTGTGCTTTTGGTTTGTTTGTGTTCCCCCTAGCATTTAAAAACAAAACATTAAATAAACTGACACAACTCAGCAAAACTGACCATCCGTGCTGACAAATGGATGGAGTTTTTATTCCCATCTGGCAGTGCAAGGATCTATTTAAAGTACATAGATTAGAAGTGCGCAGTTTCCTCCATGGATGCCTAGCTGTCATCGCTCTGGTGCTGCTTCTCTAGTAAAAAATCTGGGTCCTTTGGAAGCTTGCTTATTCACTCTTTTCATCACTGTTCTCTAGCCATGGATATGACTTCTACAGAGCCTTCATTATTTACTTTTTTCAGCATTCCATCTCTAGCTGCAAATCTTGCTCCTGTTGAGGCTTGATTATTTGCTCTTTTCGCTTCCTTAGAGCTGCTGCTTTGAGTTTCATTTTGATTCTTTGAGTACTGTATCATAGTATAGGTATGTATATTACGTACAATCAAAAGTCGTTAATTCGGACACCCATAATCCGGAATGATCTATAATCCGGACCTCAAAGCTAAAATCTTTCTGCGCATGCGCCGCGTTAGCACATGCGCACAGGCGTTTTACGCGTGTGCGTAAGACCTTGGATACTGCCATAGCGTGTGCGCAAGTGCAGAATATTTTTCGCTCTGCGCGTTTAATGTATAACGGACGGTGTAAGCTAAAATTATCTAATTATCTATTCACTTAATGTTAATGATTGCGTTGTTTTAATCTTCGAATTGGATCCCGCTTATTATTTTTGCAGACTGTAAGAGCAATTTTATAAAAGAAACTTGAACTTTCGATTATGTCAAATAGAATTTTCCGATGCTGGAACTTCCAAAGGATCTACAAACGAAAGTATGTTTCGATGTCCAACAAACAAAAAGTGGAATTGCTGCAAAAAATGGATAAAGACATGAAGAATGTGACAGAGAGGTTGTGAAAACGAAAAAATTCGATTGACAAGTTAGTCGGTATTCTCGGCACAGCAATTAACGGGACTTGAACAGCGGAACTTAGTAACTGAACAAGAAATTAATCTGTTTATAGAATTAAAGAGAAGTATTATCACATAAAATGAAGCAACTTAAACAACTTACATTGAAAGAAATGTTTAATAAAGTAAACAAATAATATAAGCTTTTTTTTTTATAAATTTTGATACCCTGTTAGATCATAATTGTTCTTTATTTCATAAATTACGATTTCATATTTTTAATTTTAGAATTTCTGCATGCCATCTTACGAGATTTAAACTGATGATTAAATCCGGAAAATCGATAATCCGAATCGCCGAGTCCAATGAGTCGGATAACGACTTTGACTGTATTACCTTTTTTATACAATATTATTGTAAACATTTGCGTAATCTAATAAATTATATTTGTATTCATTTTTTTATTTTACTAACATTTTGCAGTCAAGAGCTGTCAATTTTTCTTTAATCTTCTTTCGAGTTAGTATATATTTATAAACATAAATTTTTCCATCTAATGTATTTTTTCAAGGTTGCAGAACAAAATGTAGAACCTACCACATAGAAGAGCCACGAGTGATATTTGGTGTCATTTGACAATTAGATAAATGAAAATGCCAGTATTATCAGCATATAATTTCTTGTTCTTTACAATCTGCCTCCAATCTAAAAATTTATTTTTACATTTTAGCAACAAAATATCAGTTATAGTAATAAAATAATGTAATCTTTAACAAAAGTGAGTTTAGTTTTTCATTATTTTTAACTGCTGGCATTTTTTATTCCAGAATTTTATAGTTATTCTATGTAGAAATGCATTTTTAGGGTATTTCAGAAGTACAGTTGAAAGAAATCAGTCCAGGGAGTGAGTGGTTTTGTTGAGTTGATTCCACCAATCCCATTCCTTGTTTGATTCTTGCTGCTTTTCCATCATCTTTGCACACCACTCTTGATCCACACCTGTTCCGAGCACATTCATCAAAGTCATTGTTAGTGAGTGGTGAATAAGTTAGTGAGTTTAAAAAGAGTTAGTTGTGAGTTTAAAAAGAACTGATTAACTTCAGTGAATGAACAGTTCTGATCTGATTCCTTAAAGCAGCAGTTCTGCCCATCTCTAGTTGGCACATTATCCACCATCATTCAATGGAAACAAGCACATGAAGAAGTGTAGATGATCAGAAGCTCGATGTAGCCGCATCGCCTCCAGGTTCCTCCAGCACATCAAGAAGACCATATAAAGATACTTTAGACAATTACACTGCTGCCACCAGCCCATACAATACCTGCCTGACCCAAGGGATACAGTGTTTCATACAGTTTAAACCACACATGAACTCTGCCATCTACATGCAAAAGCTGGTATTTCTAAGCATCAGAGAAAATGACACATTTCCAAGGGCAATTTGTTCAACTGCAATTATCAGTGCTGTTCCACTAGCAGTGGAATCAAAGATGGCCATAGTCCCCATTCTACTTATTTACATTGCTGCAAAGTTAGTGTGTCTAGTATCTTTTCAGTGTAATTTTTCCTCAAAGTTGATGTCATTCATTTTATACAGATATATTTCTGAATATTTTAGAAAACATTAAAAAATCTTACCTACTAATGCTTCAATATCAAAGAAAAGGACGTGACTATCTTGGTCTTTAGGATTGGTTCTAAGACCTTGAATTATTAGAGGTTGAGCTCTTGAACGCTGTATTTCAGTTCCATCAACCTGTTGAGGGGAAGGATGAAACTGTGGCTGATGTAGCTGGTTTAGACCTCTTTGAGCAGCATGGCGTATTGCAGCCAAATTACGATGTCGTAAACCACGGAAAAAATGGATAGCAGGATTGGTCATACGATCACCAGAACTAACAATATTTTCATCACAAGCACTTAGGATTTCTTCAGCTGGCAGACCTTGGACATATCTATCTAAATGTCCTACAATATAAATTTTCAAAAGACTAAAACAACGTATTTAGGACAAAGCTATGCTGAGAATCAAACCAAACAGATGTTAACAGTCAAAAACTTAACAGAATGAATAATAAACATAGTTAATAAACAAAAACATTGTGTTTTACATAAAATGATACCCAATTCTTAGATTAGTTGGATTCCCTCTATAAATACATTTCTTATACATTAACAAATCAATTTTAATGCAGCCAATAATTTATATGCCCAGTAAACTATATTTCACATTAAACTCCTTGATTCCTCTCCAAGTTTTCAAATTACTCTTAATTTCAGGCTGTTATTAAAAATGGAGTAAAAATTATAAGTCAATCTGTTGAGCTACATAAAAAGAATTTGAATATCTGTTATTTAAATAGGAAGAAAATAGCCCTTAAAACATTTATCATTTGCAGTTAAGCATAGTATTTGCAAAATGATTTAATATCAGACAACCACATATGTGCAAGTTACCACAGTTACTAGGCAAAACAACATATTAAATAGAAAGATGCAATATATGCTGAGTTCACAACCTTATGTAGCCTTCAGTTTTGTAATCCTCGAGTATAGACATATACTTCTAATTACAAAAATATTTTAAATGAGATAAATTTAAATTTAAACAAATTTAAATTTAATTTTTAACAAATACGTATAAAAGTAAAAAGCATTTTAAATTCTAAAAAAAAGGAAAAAAAAATTTTTTTAAAAAATGTGCAAACATGTAAAAATTATTCTCGAACAATCTACATATCATTTAAAATTCAGAAGCCATAAGCAAATCAAGTGCAAAATCAATAGAAAAGAAATTTACTAATTAATAAGTTAAATTAAATTAAACAATTTTTTTTTTAAAAAATGCATATGTGAATGACCGTTGAGCAGGCAGGAGACAGACTTATCAAGGGGATGTTGCCTCCAAACCTAACTCTCCAATCATTCAATTCGTGTTTCGTCATTCATGCAGGCAAGGGTAATAGTCAAAAACAAAAGTAATTCCAATAAAGTGGTACCCTTAGAAATTAACATTTAAGAATTAAAGTTCAAAAAGGAAAATATTCATGTTTATTCATTTTTAAATTTTAAAAAAATCAATCATAAAAATTACAAAATATAACTTGTTATATAGACATGTAGTAACACAGTTACATGTTTTAAAAGTTTTTATGTGTTCAGGCAAAACAATGCTATCAAACCCCTAAACTTAAAAATTAAAATATCTCCGTCATTATTTATCATACAAGAGTCAAACATTTTTTTTTTGCCAAATTTACATTACAACAGCACAGCAAATCCAAAAAAGTTAATCCTAGTTGGCATGAGATCGAATTTTTAAGCTTTATCAAAACATGAATTTTTGCATAATTTACAATACTTCCGTAGCTTGAAGGAATATATCTACCATCAACGGCTCCAAAAATAATTGCCTTACTTTTGTAGACACACTTTATATAAATGAGACACCATCTGTAGTATTTTTTTTTTAGAAACAAATATTTTTCTGTTCATGAATGCACTCTAAATCCTCAGAGTTGCTTGTGATACAAAAGCGGCTAGCATGCATGATGGCTCTGGTATATGACCTACACCTTTTTTTTTCATTCAAACGAAGAAAAAGCTGTTAAAAAAGAAGATAAATACTGAAGGTAAATTGTACCGCCATCTGCATTGAGCTGAAACACTGCAATCCGGCGTAAGTCTCATAGAGTATATGTGCAATGTAAAGTAATTACTGCGTTAAAATTAATATTTTTTCCTGTACTGCACCAACAACTGGAAAGTTGAATGATACGATCAGTTAAATTCGATTGAAGAGTGCAAAAAATGGGTAAAGAAAGTCAGCGTAAATACAGATGCCACAGTGGATAGCGCAAGAGCTCCAAACCAATGCTATTGCAGATGTTTAGGCTTATTTTTTCCATTTCAAAATTGTAGTTATAATACAATGTATATTTGTAAACAACACATCCAAACCAAATGCTATTGCAAGATTGCTTTCAGGTATGTATATATTTTCCCATTTCAGTAAATTTGATATGTTATATGTGCAATATGTTTATGTGATATATTTATTTTAACACATACAGTTCATTAACATTTTTTAACATTTCCTAAATTTCTATATAATGTAGCATTAAGAAAGATGTTTTAAGAAATAAATTTATTTCCTTACTTTTTTAATTTTTTCGAAAAGAAACATCATTTTCGAGAAACTTCAAGAAGAAAGTTATTAGTATATATAGCGTAATTTTATTACAGCTAAAACTGATACAAGGTACTTGAGTCTTTTATCTCAAAATGTGCTGAAATGTTTTGGTTGAAGTTAATATGATATAATGTAATGAACTCGTAATGTAATGAATTGTGGTATAACTGTAAAGAATTGGTAAAAATAAAATATAATTAGCTCAAATTTACTTAACTCCTTATATTATCAAATATCTATTGAATAGAAAAACCTGTTGAAATATTAAATGTAACAAGTTCTATTTTTAAAAGGCAGATGATTGTACAGCATGTAGGAATTGATGATGATTTTTAATAATCCTAAAGTAATAGTAAAGTCAACAATAAAGTATATTTTGATGTATGTAATTTTCATCAATGATTACATAACATTGCACTTTAATATAAAGTATGCTTGGATTGTTTTCATGTATGCTATATATTATTGCAAATTAGTTCTTCATAAAATTGTATATTTCTGCTGTGAAAAAGTATGTATGCAATCATGCAAGTTGTAGGAAAACATGTACATGTACTGCACATGTACACAGAAGCAGGAAGACAAGATAACAATTATGACTGTCAATCATCATTTGCTGACTGTATCTGTCAAGCTGACTACACAGACTATAGTAGCCAAAGATAAGTTGTAGAAAGTGTGTTTCAGAGTTGAATATATGAATTAAAGTTAGTAGGATAATTATTCTTAAATAGTAAAAATTTAAATAAATAAAAATAAAACCCCTTATTTCATTTTTTATAAATTCTCTTATTATTATGATGTGATTTCACAACCATTGACCCTCTCCTATTGTTAAATAATTCATTCAGCACTGAACAACATATTATTTTATTGGTATAAAAATAATATATATTTTGTGTGTATGACCAAGTTATGATCTAAGATTTTTCAATACTTGAATCATCCTTTTAAAGATTTTTATAAAATGATTTTTTTTTTAATTTCAGGCATTGGCACAGTGAATGGCAGCTGAAAAATTTTGACCCTTGTTTCTGGAAGTGAAATGTTAGATGTAAGTAATGATGTCTGAGACCCTTATCACACGGCATTTGTTTCACATGAACAACTTGTTTCGGACAATTTTTCTGCCTGGTTTACTATTGAAAGAAAGACATGCAACGTTTTCCTTCCTTTCTAAAAAAATTGCAAATTGTTCGTTTTCAATCAATCAGCTATCAGCTTGTTTGTAATGGGGAACCAGTTTCCCATGTGTTAACCCCAAAGTGATCTATGATAATTGGCTGTTGTGACAAAGCAGAAAAATTGTTCCAAACAGTTGTTCTTCCGAAACAAACTGACGTGTGATAGCAGCCTTACTGTTAATAATACAGTAAAGCACTTAATTGTATGCTTTGCTAATGAATATGTACTAGACAATTGTGGTTATTATGAAAGAGGTGGAATTTAAATTACAATTATTACAGACATTATTTAATTTTGTAGTAATGCTAATTAAATATATGAATTAAGACAATGCAAAAATTAGTGTATAAGCATACTAAATAGTTCAGAGTAAGACTTGTACTTAATTTATAGTACGCACTCATTCACACATATGATGACTCGTACACTGATATAAATTTGATATGCTTTTATACTGTTTACATGTCTTCTATATTCAGATTTGAATCATCATCTGCCAACAAATTCAGTTAATCAGGCATTGTTGACCTTATTAGTTTCTTGCAGATGTGTGAACTTTGGAAACATTTTTAGATTTAGTGTAGTTTTTGTTTGCTTTTCAGGTTTTCACATAATATCAACTAGAAACATTACCTCTTCATTTTAAAGGTCAAAGAGATAAAATAAAAAAAAAATTAATTAGTTAATATCAAACCTAAAATGTTCTTTTATTACACAACTATTATTTAAGCCATCCAAATGGGCGCAATATTTTTATAATACTTTTATTTAATTTTCCAGTATATGTTATTGAAGCCATTCAAATCCCACTTGGGCATTTTCAAGCATATTAGTTGTTGAATATTATGTCTGACTGTAAACACACAGGCAAAGTACGTATAATTATTATGTAATTTAACCTATCTTTCCTTCAAATATTTCTTTAAAATTACAGGAGACAGGCATACATTTGAGCTTTGATTAACAGACTTAGTGTAGTCGCCATGACGGATAAGAAAACAGATGAATAATAGACCACCCATAATCACCAACATATAATGCAAGGATTTGAGAATAAAAGATTGCTTATTAGCATAATAGTGCACTGTATATTAGATATAAAAATTATAGAACTGAAAGATTTGTCACGTATCATCTTTGCTTATCATTATATATATTGAAAATAAACAGTCTGCTTCTGCAACAGAATAAATATCGAGTGTCTTGAAATGTTTTGTATACCTGGAGCTTTACAGTTCAGTACATTATACAAAGAGCAGTATATATATATGATTATCAGGTCTGCACAGAAATTTTTAATGGAAAATTCTTGTATAGATTTAGTTGATATTTCGTTATCTCTTGTGTACAGATTTAGTTGATATTTTGCAAGACATGGCAATATTTCAGACTTTTATTCTAATTACTGTGACAAAACAAATCAATTATAATATGATTACATTATGTAGCTTATATTAATAATTTTCATACGTGTATATGTAATATTTTGGCAGGCACACAGGAATGACCAAAGCTTGACAATATAACTACATCATAGGCCCAGGCATTGTTATGGCTGGAAGAAGGTTGCAAAATGACGACAAAGAAGGATTTAGCTTTTTAGATCCCACATCTTTATTCAGTTCTCACATTATATCATTTTGCTTTTAGATGAAATTCTCAAGATTATATATTCAATATTGATTTAAATTAAGTAAGATTAAATTTAGACTTTACATCATAATTGTTTTAACAAAGGAAAGAGCAAGATGGGATAAGCAGCTGCAAGGTCTTGTAGCAGCGGTAGAAGAAAGCAGTTTGACAAAAAGTGGCACACAGTAATACATATTCTTTGTGTCTTCGTGAATACATTCTGCCTCACCAGCAGGTAATAGAAACTGATGATCAAAAGATTGATGAATATTTAATAATTTTGATCAGATGGAAACATTATCTAGGAAAGTAAAATAGTTTAAAACGTATTAAATATGGTTTTCCAGAATGTTTCCTAGCATAGTTTTTAATCTCAGACTAAATGATACACATTATCTGGAAGTTCATATTCTTGTGTCATAAAGTATGCTTTATTGTAATTAGTCTTAGATTGTAAAGTTAAATTTATGAAAATATGATGAGTTAAAAATGTATTGCAGATATTAAACTAGATTTTAATTATATGCAATTTTGAAATTTTAGAGATCTTGCTTCATGTAATTATTTTTAATGTTTTTATTAAATTCTTAATTAATGCTATTATGCATGCATTAGAAAGTGAAATGAAATAATACTTAGGGATATCATTTGGCTGCATTCTGTTGTTTCTCAGTTAAACTATTCTGCATTCAAAAAATTACTCAAGGATTCTCACGAATACCAGCTCAAACAGTTCCGAAAGTATTTCTGCTGCAAAATATACGTAATTACTTAAGAATTGTATCTTTTTGATTATTATTTTTAGCCTTTACAAGTTACTGCCAAAATTATTTTGTAAATCAGAAATCTTCGAGGGGATTAGTGTGTCTCGCATAGTTACCCTGGTGCCACACTATAACACTGAAATTGATAGATGTATAATTGAATGTTTAATCAAAAATGTCTAATTCCTCTTTTATGATATTTCAATAATTGATACTACTGAAACAAGAAATATTGGTACATTAACATTTTCTTAATATTCATTGTGTATTTGTTATGATACATGTATTAATGTCATTACAAGTTAGCATTTGGTAATGTTTGTTTCAACAATTTAGGGTTTGATGAAGTGCCACAGAGATTATCGCTTAAAGAATGCGTGCAGGCCAACCACCAACACAAGATATTAAAAGAGCAATGAAAATGAAGATTTAACTATAAGGAAAAATCTGAGTAATATTATTACTCATAACACTTAATTGTTTCATATTATTGTAAATTTATGTTAATATTCCTGTATTCTGTTTATTTTGCAGCTTATGTTATTGTAAATTCATGTATATGTTTTCATTCTTTGCTCTGTCATGCATTTCATACAATAATTATTTGTTTATATTGTGTATTACATCATTGAATTACTGTATGTTGAATTTAATTAAAACCTTTTTTACCATTCAGTAGTACTTTTCCATAAAACCCTGAACATTCAAAACGCCCATCCCATATCACTAATCCTCGTTTCTAAATAATACTTGAGTTTACTTAATTCATGTATTAATAACGAATTTGAAAAATAATACAATAGTGACATATTTTGAGGTAAAAACAAATACTGCTCAATTGGACATTTTAAAATGTTTTTCTTTTATAGTTTAAAGTATTGATTAGAGGAACATTTTTTTAAGGATTTTTTAATTATTTTAGTATATTGAATATTGTATTAATATAGTATTTGAATATTGTATTAATATATGATTAATTAGTATATGATATATTGTGTGTGTAATGAATAAGTAAGGCAGTGAATAAATTTTGAACAATAATTTCATATGAGGAAATATGATCTGCCTGGGTTAAAAAATTAATCTTTAAATGCCTATTTATGAGATTATATGGCTGGAAAATCTGTAGCCCAAAAGCAGTTAAAGCAACCCACCCCAAAAAAAAGAGACATTTTAAATAGTTTCCTTCCAAAACTTGAAATATTTAAACATTACACGACCCTAAATTTCTAGTGAATTAAAATATGCTTAATTTATAATTTTAAAATATTCATTTCATTCAGTTCAGCTACTAGCCATTATATGAAATTTTTCCTATATTATTAAAATGTTCCTCATGATTTTGCAAGGTGAAGACCACAAATGTTCTGCCCTTATAATTAATGATGATATAATAATTATGAAGTAGACTTCAGTGTAAGGAATATTGGAACTATATAGTTTGGTTATTGTTTATTAATTAGCTCATTTTCAAAAAATTCATATCATACAGTAAGTAGTATTCATAATTTTTTTCTCATTTTCTTGATATTTCATTGAAGTATTTAAATGTTTATTTAATTAGCAATACCTAATAATGTCAAATGCATATACTGTTATACAGAATGGGATTCTGACCATAACACTCGGGCAAAGTGTTAATTTAATGTTAGTTTTTCACCAAGTTTCCGCATTATGCTTTTTACTCTCCACACAGTGTTTGGTTTTAATTATTATTTTTTAATATTTGTAGGACCTTAGGTTTTACAAATAATAAAATGTGTGTGTGTGATTATGGCAAAGCCTCGAGGGCTATCTGCCTAAGGGGAGGGATGCCTTCGTGGAGGACTTTCTAAGGGAAACTGGCTCGTATACACGTTACACATGGGGAAAACCACGAAAACGCACATGCAGCCAGCCCATTCGCGGGATTCGAACCTCGGACCGAACTACCAGTGTTCAGCAACTTTACCGCTCGGCCGCTGGTGGGCCACAAATAATAAAAAATAATAATAATACCAGAAAGTGTGACTTTCTTATATTATCCAACAGGAGACCTATGTTCACATCTTATATTTTAAGTTTACAATTTTCTTTTGTAGATGACAGACACCATATATTCAAAAGAAATTAACATACTACTGAATATATGCATGTGTTTTCCATATTTACAGCTGTTGCGTGTGATGTTATGTAATCGGGTAAAAAATAAAAGAATTAAGTTTATTGTCACCGAAACAAGTGTATACTTCGATACAAAGGCTAAATTGAAATAGTGAATTGAGGTTGTAGAGTATTAATTTGTTTTTATTAACCAGTTATTTTATGATAATTAGCTTTTCTTTCTCGCTTTTCATTTTCCTGCGAGAATGCTAATTTTGAGTGTATTCGAATGAGGCAGAAAGCAGTAGTATTTAAAGGAAGAGGTTTAAATGGTAGAATCAGAACTAAGAATCTACTTGAAGACCACATTACTAGTTGGTTCTCTTGGGAGCAGATTATCTGTAGCATTGCATTTTTCTCGCCATTAGCTTATCAAGCCAATATTAGATCTGAGACAATCTGTGCATTTTCTGTCTGTGTAGCCTTCAGGCTAACAAAAATTTACTTAGTTGAATTCATTTCGTTACTTTTGATTTATGCTATAAATGCTGGCTGATTCTGTATGAATAAGCTGTGCACTCTGTTAATTTGTCTGAGTTTATAAAAGGTTTTTTTTACACCTATTCCAAACCTCTGTTGTAATTTCCAAAACATAACGAGAAGTCGCTTTTAAGTTTTCCAGAGTTCTCACACAGTATATATTACCAAAGTGGGTGAAATTCATATAAGATGCACGAAATATGAAAAGGAGATTCATTAAATCAAGAAAAGTAATCGGTGGAAAGGGCTTTTAATCTTAATAATGAAAAATCGAATTTTAACACCAAATATTCAAACTTTTGTAAATGTTTTATATTTAATTAGCGATAGTTAAAAATAAAAAAAATTATCTTTATATTCATAATATAGGTTATATTCTATTAATTTCCATTAACAAACATAAAGAATAAACATTGACAAAATCATTGTACTAAGCTATTTTGGTAAAATAAAATCTACTATTTTCATTGTACTTCAAATTTAGGTTGTTTTCATAAAATTCTTTTATTAAACATTAACTTATACTTGATAATCAGTCTTCAAGTTCAAAAATCAGTTAACCGTAATTACATTTGTTTTATGACCAAATATTTTAATTCGGCATTCGAGCATTTCTAATGCCATTTCTTTTTCTGTTCAACATCTCTGTTCTGTTAAGGTTATAACCAGTTAAATTGTTACTGTGTCTCTGAAAAATCAGCAGCATTCTTAAACACCATTTTAAAAATATTTCAGTGTGTAGTATTTATCAGCAGAATTTTTTCTAAATAAATACAGAAGTTCTTATGAAAACAACTGAAAGAACATATCTTGAAAGAGAAACAGTATTCGTAATGTTTGGTCAATTATGATAATTAACAGCTATCATAACTTTGCATGCATGTTGTATGCCTTATATATATGCATAAAGACCAAATTTGGCAATAAGTACAGCTGTTACAAAATAATCACAAAGTCTAATGGAACGTACTCGTCACACGTACTTGGGGGGGGGAATCAAATTTATGTAAGTATTTGCAAGTCTCTAAGAATTTTTGGGGGAGTATCGATTTCTAATTAATATAAAATCATTTAAGACACAATAACACGGCGAATAAATACTAATTCAGAAGTCAAACAACAAAAATCAGCATTATATTTACAAAATTTTCACAGGACTAGTTTCGATGGTTTTACTTAACCACCATCCTCAGCTGCAAAACCGCAAATGAACAAGATAGGAAATAATTATTAGATAAGATAAGAAAGCCTGGACAAGAATAAGCAAGTGGTGCCATCTATTGGTGAAACCAGAACTAAAACATAATTTCTTTAAAGGCCGAAGGCAAAGTTGGATTGAAATTAGGATTGTTAACTAGAACAGAAAGATTTTTATGAATGTGAAATGCCTCTAGAAAATCCAGTTCTCCAATGGAAGATGTTTTTTGAATAATTTTGGCAGCAGAAAAATTGAAAGTGTGATTTTTGGACCAACAATGTTGAGCAACAGAAGACTTCCGTGTTTCCTTTTTTCTAACATATGCCTCATGTTCCTTGACGTGAAATTTTAAGACTCTCTTAGTTCGCCAATGTAAATTAAACCACACTGGCAAGGAATCCTATAAATAAATACCCCAGGAATTCATATCCGGAATGGGGTCCTTGAGTATGGAAACTGGAATGACCCGAAAGTTAAATTTTTGCAAAATATGTGCAACTTTATAGCTAATTGATGGAAAGAAGGCAATGACAACAGAATTTTTATAATCTCCTAAAACAAGAGTGTGCCTTTTAGTGTGTTGAGATGAGAATTTTTTAACTGCTTGATTAATAATTTTGGATGAAAAGGCCCCTGTCAATAGCTATTGCTTTTGAATAATTTAGTTCTTCAGCAAGGGATAGTTGGGAGGAGCAAACTTGAAGAGCACGGAAAACATAGGAATAAAATGAAGCTAACATTTGTTTAGTCGGATGACATGATTTAAAGTGTGTGGAAGGCAAACCGATGAAGGGTTACGGTAAACCTAGTACTGAAGTTGGATGTGTTACATGTGACCAGAATGTCGAGAAACGGAAAAGAATTCCAAGTCTCAAGTTCAAAAGTAAACTGAATAGCAGGATCAATAGAACATTGTTGAAAGAAATTTATTTAAATCATCTTTATTACCTTCAAACAGGGTAAAAGTATCGTCTATGTAGCGGAACCATACCGGGAAGTTTAAAGTTTCAAATGATTTTGATTCATAATAATGCATGTAGATACCAGGCAGGATGGAACTGAGGGGGCCTCCCATGGCTCCCATGGCTCAGTTTGCTTGTAATATTTATTTTGGAAAACAAAATGTGTTCGTTTCAAACAGAGTTGAGTGAGAGTAATTAGCTCATCAATTTCGATGCAAGAGAAATGAAATTCACAAAGTCTGGTTTCTAGACATCTTAATGCACCCTCCACTGGGACATTGGTAAATAATGATTTTACATCAAAAGAAACCATGAGTAAATTACTAGGAGAAAAGTTTTTAACCTTTTTTACAAATTCTATTGAATTTTTTATGGTGTAAATGTTATTGTCTAATAGAGTTGAAAGTCTAGAAACTAAATATTGAGCTAATGGATACGAGGCAGTACCTAAATTTGATACAATAGGGCAGAAAGGAATACCACTTTTATGAATTCTGTGAAGAGCATATAATCTGGCACAATTCGCAACAGATGGGATAAGCGAATGTTTTAAGTTGCTTGAAATGATTTGCAAAGATTTGATCCCAGTCTTTATTTTTGACAAGTCCGAAGGTGAAGGATCTTTAGGGATCGGATTATACGGTTCTTCGTTTAAGA